CAATACATATGCGTAGCCAAGGCCTCATTTAGACTGATCATGTCGTGTTATTGGGACTTGGGACGATGTTGGGACTATTGGGACGACGCTCAGCTCTCAGCAGCGGAGGCTCTGTCACCTTGGTGGGAAGGGCGGGCACTGCGGGGAATGGAACCCTGCACATATGGCTTCCTGGACGCGCGGCTTGGCCACTACACTATCGTGGTCATGCATTCAGAAGGCATTCGTGTTTGCGGGGTCCCCTGTGCCAGTGACTTACGGATCGTATGAGCGAAGGCTCCAACGTGGATCGGTTCACTTCGTCCTGCCGGTATACTCACGTCATACGTACCATACATAGCGTGCACACATACATGGAAAACTGCGATGGATTGGGCCCTGGTTTCGGCTACAGTAGGGGCATGTATCGTAGTCATAACCATGCTACACGCGGATCTGGCAAGATGTCTACAGGGCTCCATCAGCAAATGAGTCTTTTTTCAACTAACCTCAAGCCTTATTGGACGCATTTAGCGTTACGTCTCGCATGGACACCGGCTGAACTCCTCTTGTTTTCATTTCTAGCAGATATACTCATGTCAGCGTCTATCCCGATGCCTCAGTTGGTTGGAGCACCTGCCTGGCGATTGGCCCAATGGAGCGCCTGCCAGGCGGGTTGGGTTGGAGTCGCTGTTGGTGCTCGCTCTTCGTGTCTGACTGGGATATTTCAAGTTCATCGGTCATTTGCACCACATCATCGACATATGTCTGCGATGTGATGCTTAGACTTTTCGTCGTCCTTGTTTGCAACGCATCGTTATAGGCAACAGATAAGCACTGCAAGCTCTCCAGGTAATCACGTCGTATAACTGGTCCGTTAACTCACATGCCTTCCCGTTTAACAGACAAGTGTTAAAGCTTACGCCGCTGCTCGTTGGCTAGTTCATTGGTTATTAGTATCCCGATTTGGGTGGTGGCCATTACGGGTTCACTTTCTAAAGACAGCGAGCGGTGTTTCGTTGCAGTCCCCGTTCGCAGAAGGTCGGTATTCGCGCGTGTATGTGCCGTTTGGTACGCCCTGTCCTCGGTTATTGGAGACAGCACGAATGTTTCGTGACCTGTTACCGGCTTCCACCGAACTGCCAATTATGTTTGTCCACCAGAGACAGACCGCAGATGGATCTGAATCACGAAACTGTGATAAGGCTTGCTGTGATTCGACTAGGCAGGTCATCTATATAAATGATATTGAAAGAACTGAAGCCAAAAGCTGGGGATCGCTGAAAACAACACTGCGGACCACCCTTTTGAATTTCCACTAACGCCCGATTAAAGCTGTCAAAAGAACTCGGGTTAAAACCTTTGGTGCGGTGAAGACAACTAAGCGTACCACCGTCTTAAACTTCCCCTAACGCCTGGTGTAGGGTCGGTAAGGGGTGTTGGGTCCCCTTACTCGCTGACGTGTGATGAAGACGGCGGAAGCTAGTGGAGGTCAGTCGCGATGTATTCATTTCCAATTGGAAGCTCATTTTCACCTAGTTTCATTGCAAAGTTCTCGGGCCGTCCGATGTAACGATATCCTTCATAGCACTCCCAATTTATCGCACCGACAGAGGTGGACACGTAGAGGCGTCACCACCGAAATGTGAGCTTCGTTTCTTTTTTTAACAACAGACGGGAGTGCAGTTGCCTTGACGTTTTCGCTAAAATGGTTGACTCTGTTCGAGTGGCAACACATTTCCTCCCAGGCAGCGTGTTCCACGGCTGGCACGTCTAACTGTACCGCGCCCCACCCTTCACATTCGAGTGGTACAGCGATCGTAAGATAAAGAACAGACCAAAGTCCGCTATTCTCCCCACGTTGGCCTGGTTTGACCCCGCAAAGATCATGAACGGTGGCCATACAGTGACCGCAGAACGACTGAATGCACCGACCTGTATGCACCAGGTGAAGTTATGCACGACTTTACTAATAGCTGTCGTCGGTGAGATGTTGACAGCTCCTTACGCATCGGGTGGTGCGTGTGTGGAGACACGGCCGGGTTTGTAACGCGCAGATAGTGGTGTCCATGAATTGAATGTCATCACTCCTAAATTCTGCCTCTCACTCTCCCTTCCCAATGCTATTGAGCATTCGTGCAGTCGGAAGTTCCACACTTGCAGGAAATATTTTACGGACGTTACGAAGCGCTCCGTCCCCAGATTCGTGGGACGCGTTTGTCCGTCTTTGGCAGGTGAACAAGGTGGGCCTTTTCACGGAGATCGGGCCGCTCAGCTGTTTCGTGTCACGCCACTCGATCCCGAGCGACATGGTGTTCGACCCCAACTCCAACCCGCCCTGCTACAAGACCCAGGACGAGGATGTGGTCATCCAGCAGGACGACGAGATCCGGCTCAAGATCGTCGGCACCCGCGTCGATGCCAGCGACATCTTCGCCATCGGCACCCTCATGGACGACTACTTGGGGCTCATCAGCTAGACAGCAGATGCGAGTCGCTAGTTGGACAGCCTGGCACCGCCAGTCGCGTGGGCAAACTGTCAACAGATGGTGCGTTGTGAGTCGCACAGCACCCTTGCAGCACGCGATTTGCTGAAATCATAAGGGAAGCGTTTCCGTTTTGTGCTCGACTTTGCGAGTGTGGCGACCTGTGGCTCGCCTCGTGTAGGGGTTTGGAGGTGGGTTGAGACTGGAGTTCCGTGAAGAGTGTGGGTTGGCTCCGAGCCGTGCGGTCTGCGAAGGTCAGCGCGTGCTGTGTTGACTGGTCACACCTCCAGGGAGCGGAACAAAGGACGCCCGCCCCGAGTGGCGCACGCCTAGCAAACGTGCATTCAGCGCCGCAGGCTCCAGGCCATTGTGCATTGACATCAACATCATTTTTTACATTGTCCGCATTATCACGAATACATGCATTTTGATGGCAATGTTTCAGTTCTTGGAAGTTTAGGGAGGCGTTGGTCACCAGAAGTTACCATGATGATTCTCATGTAATCTTAAAAGGTATCTCCGGGGTGCCGGAGTGAAGTGGTCAATACGTCTGTGTGAACTCCCGGAGAAAGGGAGAGAGAAAGAGAGAGAGAGAGAGAGAGAGAGAGAGAGAGAGAGAGAGAGAGAGAGAGAGAGAGAGAGAGAGACCGCAACGATGAAAATTTAAAGGATGCGCTCGTCTTAGTGTTGCAGCGTTTCTGTACCGTGGGCCTGAATTTTGAAATTAGTCTGGCGTTATGGAACCTTTGAAATAAATATCTTTCAAACATCTCTTCACCAAGTATGTCTCACTGCGCTGCAGGCCCGTGGGGTTACTAAGAATGTGCGCGGTGTGTGGCGCTTTGACCAAGTACCCGTTAACGGCTCTCTGGACCGATGATGCAGCTTTGTTGCAGACCAGACCGGGCCCGAGGCTTCGGCGGGGTGTCCACTGAACTAGCATTTATGACGAATGATCTGAGCACTACCTGGCGTACCTCTTCCAATGCGCCCGATAAATGGCGTGTTTCGGCCGTTAAATTCAAAGCAGTTTTGCGAAGAAAAATATTTTTGCGAATTTGAAATTGAAAAAGGTCACAGGGTCAATGTCCAAGTGTGAAATATCCGTCGGGGGAAAGGCGCTCCGTATTTCGCCTGTCTCATTCGATATTGGGGGCATGTTTCGCACCTGTACCGAAATAAGTTCAAGCGTAATGAATATAAATTAGACGATCGAGACGCACAGTCAAACAGCGTCGCAAACGAGCGAAATATGTGATAATCTGCGACCCAACATCGATCAATATGCAAGCACGCTGTTTTGTCAGATATTTGCAACTTCCTTGATTCATTTATCCTTCGAAGATGTCGAAAGACAAAAAGGCTCTCACTGCATCGCTCCTCGCTTCGTCACGTGATTGAATTTTTGAAAAGTGAACACAAACGTCATCTTTAAATCAAAAACTTCATATTTGTGGTGCAGTTTCTAGATCAGTCAACAAGGCGGATAGGATGTCTTACCCCCGGGACATTTTACCTCACGCTCCCCTTTTTCTTTAAGACACAACATTTTTTCTGTGGGACCACCACACGCAGATATGGCGGTTCCAAGGGGCACAGAGGTAAAAAAGCGTCCACTCACCCACAAGCGTGGGGGACTTAAATCAATGTCTGCCCTTAATGGAAGGAGACTGAAACGCTCTCACTGTTCTAAGGTCTGTTTGACACATTCACGAAATATTGGTCGCAACGAAATTGAGCGCATTAATACACTGAAAAAGGAGAATATATTTTGGTGGCCTAGGCCCTTGTCGGCACTGCCTGTGGTTTATGAGCAATTTGTGGGCACATTCCGCTGTCTCCCAAATTTTTGATGGGTCATTTTCATTTGTTCTTTTCAAGGTGCTCCTCACTATTACCGCACTGTCACCTCAGCGTAAAAATTGACCGATCACTGATGATGTACTCAGCACATGAACCCTATGTCACGCCTATATGGCCTACATGACTGCATGTGTTTAAAACAAATCCTTACTTTGCTTGTGGTAAACAGTGCTGTCAGTGTCCAGGCCAATAAATAAGCGACCGCTATCTGTTCCGCTATCTGACCACCGATCGCATATAAACCGGCAAACTTCGGAATGGCGTTACCGCTCTCCGTTGATATGCCTGTGGAGAGCTGCCTCGAGATGATGCAATAAAATTAGTCTTTAGGCTTGAGATGCAAAATTACCATGTATTTTGACATGACATTATACGATGGAGAACAGCATTGTCATCCAGTTCATTTGCTAAATCTCTGTTTATAATCATGTGACTAGTATCTACCAAACTCTTCGTAATATCAACAAAAAATCGGGCTGCAGGCTACCAAATTTTAGTCCCATGATGACGTCAGGTCAGCGTAGCCTTTTCCTCTATTAGCCTTGCGTTGTTCTGGGACTTCTGCTACGACCTTGTGTTCGTTCAGAACTTGAACCGTCTTGGGGTCACGTGCCGGCAGGCCCGCGTTCGTGTTGTGGACGGGGAATGCGGAGCAAAAAAGTGACAGTCTGAGTTGGATGTACGGATGGTGTCCCCAAGGCTTCTGATGTACGTACTCTTCTGCGGGATATTTGCCTCCCTCTTCTTAAGCAAGATTGCGACGTTGATCGAAACCAGCCCGGAGGTGTCCGGATCATTGCCGGACAGAATATCACCGTTGTCAAGCCTGACAGTACAAGAGCGCTTAGCGGGATGGGATAAGCCGGATCTTGAAGATGCATTAGACAACACAGAAGATGATTTGATGTGGTTCATGCAGGTCAGTCCATACCTTTATCCATGTATAGCTGGGGGGGGGGGGGGGGGGGGGGGGGGAGGGCTAATTGTGTTGATAAGCTAGTGGGGGTAGAGCACCAAGAAGGAAAACATATCTGAACCAATCCCTAAACTAGGCAGCAAAAGTCACTGGCAGAGCAGACATCTCTGCAGACAGAATTAAAGTGCACTTGTGAATATGAGTGAACTCATGTGGAACTGATAAGGTGACTCAACTCACAGCAAACTCATATATACTTGTATAAGGATGCACTCATAAGCATGTTAATATACTGCTGTAAATGTGAGTGCTCAGAGTTTTGCACACAACCAGCACCAAGTGTAGTGCATATGGAGTTAATTGAAGGAATTAAGATGTTCTAAAAGCAATTTTAGGTGAAAACACTTCAAAATTATTTCATACCCAAAAAATGGTAAAGAATTTAGCATACTTTGACCTAGGCTGAGTGTGATGCACCTAAGTGTGAGGGTCAGTGTGCCAATTTTTTGTGGGGCTCAACACAGTGGATACATTTTTCTGCAGACTGATCTCAAAATATGCCAAACAGCAAGTTTCTCCCTGCATTTGGCTGATCTTGCAAATTTTGGAGCCTAGGTCATCTTAGCCCCAGCTAAAAAAAAGCTACAACCCTGCATGAGCAAAAATGTTTAGGATTTACATCATGTGTCAGTGGCTTCACTGGTTTTCATTGGATGAGGGTGGTTCAATTTGCTTGGATACATTGTGTTCCAACAGTTAACAAACTAACTTTACATGCTGCTCTAAGATTCATACATGCTTATTGTTGCTTGAAGCTATTGCCAATATTTATGTACCACCCAACTGGGAGCAGCATCCTAATCTAAACATTGGGCCAGCGTGAGCTTGGGCACATGATGCTGCAAGCAGTAAAATCCACTGTTATGGTGGAGGGATCAGCCCAGATGGAAATGAACCCAATCAAAACAATGTGCTCATGAACATCGTAATCATATCTGCTCATAAGCAGAGCCCAAATATACACAAACCTTTGTGTCACTTTTGTGACATTTTGGGGACACAATATTCATTTTTTGTCCTTTCAATTAGGGTTGTTCCTTTTCATTCACATGATCTCATTTAGTTTCCATCAAAATGTAGTTTCCTGTTCAGTTAGGGTGGGGGAGACTTCACTCCCCAACTTTGGGACAGTTGGCCAAATCTTAGGAGAGCCCAGTCTGCTGGTTATTTTGGGATAAGGTTGTGTTATCCCTCCCTGCCCAGCCCCCTAACTCATTTTATGAAAGTATGCCTATGATCAGTGCTATTGTATAGAGGTTTTTGTTGTTTAGTGCACATGGCTTCTTTTACAGCTATACATAATTTGCCATGTCATTGCAAGGTAATGTGGTACAGCTTTTTGTCCTGGAATGATGGATAGCCTTATCAAATTTATAGGAGAATTAACTAGCAATAGTAATTGCTAAGGCATGTCAACTGTAAGGTTGTTAGGGCATACCAACTGTAGTGATCACTTGCCCTGGCATTTATAAGAGGGGATGTAAGACAAAGCAGTGCATCTCTGAGGTAGGCTCTTGGACAAGAGGCAAATTCAAGTTAGAAGAATGACTTATTTAATTGGCCCTGGGTCTGCTATGAAGATCAGACCAAGGTAAAAACTAAACTACTCTTTCACCAGACAAATTGATTTGTGGGTAGTTTTTATTATTACCTCATCACAGGGATGTCAACAGAATCTTATTTCAGCTTTTTGAATGTCATAGGTCACTAACCCAAAGTGATCTGGGTGAACCTTTTGTGTTCAGAAACATGCTGCATAACATAGTCTTTCATGCTTGCCTGTATTTAAAATGACAACAATCTTGTATGTCTTTGACTATTAGCATTCTAGTAATCAAACTAGTAGCCTTTTGCTTAGATCAGGTATCTAGAGTATGGCCAGTAGTATGATGATGGCTGGAGGTACTTCAAACAATGATCTGGGGCTTGGTCTTGATAAACCTATTTTGCTCGAAGGTCGTGACCTAGGAATCTCAAAACTTAATCCATGCAAGTTCACTTCTAAAACTGCTTACCCTGTGATTTTCTATCTCTAACTCTGTTAGTTTCTGTAGATCTTGGGTGATCAACTTGAGTCCCACTGGAGAGTGTCGCGTACAACGTGCGTGTTAAGCGACTCTGAAAGTTGGATGGACCAAACTGAAGCCGTTCAACAATGATTTTTTTTTAAAAATTGGGCTTCAATCCCTTACTCTCCCAAGTCTTACCCGATCCAAGCGGGAATGGGTTTTTGGCCTTTTTGAGAGTAAAGAACAGACGCAAAACCGACGTGGCCAGGGCAGACACCAGCGGCCCTATAATCGGCGGTGCAGTTTGGCGTTTGATTTCCTCGGAATAGGCAACTTCACTGCAGACAGTGAGGCGTAAGGAACTAGTCAGGTATTCAGTGTGATCATGGCTCGTAGCTGCGAAAGTAGCGATTGGGGAAAAATTGAAAATGAGGATCGCCGTCACTTTGCGTCTCAGGACAGATCAAAGACTGCCTTGCGCCTACGTTTCTCGTCTTTGGAGGTAACTTGGTCACACAGGTACCCCATAGCGGTGAACAGTGTCTGTGACATCAAGTATCTCAGGTTAAACGTGTCGGATTGATAGCCTCTGATGGTTTATTGTTGCGTTGTCTAAGTGTATTTTCGATGATAAATTCATCTATTGTGACTAAGGAAAACGAGGTGTCTGATAATCCATTTGCACGCATATCTTTATTAAGAATGGCATGTCGGTATGATTTTAATGCCATACATTTCCGTGCTTTCCGTTCTTTTCTGTTCGTTCTGTCCGTAGATGAATTTGTTGTCGGAAAGGCACTTAGTGCAACGTGACACAAAACTGCCGGAGGGTATAAGTCTGACGCGTTTGAACGAAATGGAATCAGCACGTTTCAACTCGACAAAGAACCGACTACCGCGCTTGCAAAACGCGGGTTATTGTGTGCGGGTGACCCACGTGCGCTGGTTCAAAACTCACGAATCGGGCAGCTTCTGGGCATGTCACAGGATTCATGTCAGATATCGGCAGACCATGGACATAACGCCATGAAGCCAACTGCATGGTGTGGGTACATGTGCCGTGTACAAACCACCCACGCCGCAAAACACTGTCCCATCGGCAGGGACGTTGGCAATCGATCGCGAAGCGACCAATGTCGTGTTTGTCGAAACAGATCTCGAAAGCAACACGCTGTCGCCCAAACCGGATGAGAGGTGCACGCAAAAATGAGAATGGTCCGAAACGTGACCCGCCGCAAATTTGTGGATTTCTTCCGAAAAATCCCAGCCCGTTCGCAGGCCCGTCGCTGAGTATCACATGGCTGTGCAGTGGCGTGTTTGTGGTGTAGGTCCTCCGCGCGGCAGATATATTCCGCCGGCGCGGGGATGCGCACTGAGCAGCCGAGGATCGTAGCAGCAAGGGAATAGAAATAACACGCGTTTGTGCGCTTGCATTGCTGCGCTTAAAGTGGAACTATATTTGCCTGTATTTTGCACTTAGATACCAGGTTTTACCGTTGTGAAACGGAATGGATAAACTTCTTAATTGTCGCAAGTAATGCCTGATATGCCAATAACAGGTGTCCCACCTTCGGAACAGATTCCGAAAACTCGATCTGATGAACTGCCAGGACCTGTCGTTAATTTAGATAGGACTGTGGAGCAAAGCTGCATCGCGTAAAGGATGTGCGCGGATCACTTTTATATATTTTCAAGTCCAAATCTCGCGGCCAACATCTCATACCAACACCGTTTTTTCCTTCTCTTGGGATGCCCGTATGTCATGTCGTGCATGTGTATTTTTAAAGCCTTGAACGGTTTCAGCGCACGCAAGGCAGCGTTCGCCATTGTTAAGGTCATAGTCCTTTTGGATAATTGTTGGATTTTGCACACCGTATGTAAACTACGAATGAAGTCTTCCAAGCTTTTGAACAGTCCTGTTCAGCATATGATCGCTGTTTTGTTTTGTTTTGTTTTGTTTTTGGTCGATAGGTTTTTATTGGCCTGCATAGTTCCAATAGACCACTCTGACGCGGCTTACATATTCGTAGCAGCAAATAATGAAGCCATTAGACCCAACCTTACAGCCATTACAGCCATGCAGCCTTGCACCCATACAGCCATTGGCCCCTATTTTTAAACCGTGTTGTCTACCCCAGCGAGCTCTGCTCGCCGTCCCAGCCATGGCCACCTCATCGTGACGCTTAAATGGTTATGCGTGTTCACATCCTCAGGTTATTATTACCGTGCGTGGGCGTAGTGATCACCTGACTTATTCGTCGGTCGAGATGGTCGTATTGGCAGAGACGACGCCGATATTGCAGACGCCCGAAACTCAGTGACTGTTTGGGTCGTGAAACTGGCGCCCTCGCTGATGTGCCTTGGCGCCCTCGCTGACGTGCCTTGGCGCCCTCGCTGATGTGCCTCCATTGCAGGGTAAATTATTATTATGATTTTATTATAAATCAGGTTATTATTACCGTGTGTGGGCGTAGTAATCACCTGACATATTCGTCGGTCGATATGGTCGTATTGGCAGGGACGATGCCAATATTGCGGGCGCCCGAAACTCAGTGACTGTGTGGTTCGTGAAACTGGCGCCCTCGCTGATGTGCCTTGGCGCTGTCGCTGATGTGCCTTGGCGCTCTCGCTGATGTGCCTCCATTGCAGGGTAAATTATTGCTTAATTTGTTGTTGAACTCACACTAAAAGCCAAGATGCGCCGGACTGTAGCCATGACCATTTCAACTGCAGCCCCCCGTACCTGTCTGAACTTTGGTTGCGTTCTGGAACCCATGGTGGCGAGACAGAGTGGCATGGAAAACTTGACGGTGTGGGTTTGGAAAAGAGGGAGCGAGGGAGGGAGATTCTCCGTAATGCAAACGCATATATATATATATATATATATATATATATATATATATATATATATATATATATATATATATATATATATATATATATATATATATATGCACTCTTCTGTCGTGGGCACCACGCACCGTACTGCACTGCACACGCAGTCGTATGTATATCCGCCGCTAGGTGTTTATCTCATGAATGCTGTATGTTTATCATGCTATGTTATCTTGGCATGTTTGTGCAAGGGTTCACTATGTCTTGCAGTGTCTGTGTTAATCCAAGTAGTAATAAGGAGACAGCATTCCGTTGTTGCAAATTATTCTATGCATAATGACTATTTTCTCTTTGTTTCAGATATCTGATCTTCACATCAGTATCTTCCAAGATCCAAAGAGAATCGAACAGCTCAGGCTATTTGTAAATGAGTCCGTTCCAGTCATAGAACCAGAACTGGTTTTAGCTTCAGGTCAGGAATTGTATCAGGGACCGTTACATGTCGGTGACTTCTGTCAGATTTTGACCGTTGCGGGTCAGGCGCCATCTTTATTGGCATCCTTGTTGAGGGAACAATTATCTGCCGTCACCAGTTGTCCCTAAATTGAGGTAGAGTTACAACACAACAACCAGGAATTATCCAGTAGCTCTGAATCCAGAGATATCGGAGTTGGCCCTTTTAGGGAAACCAGTGGTCCTCCATGTCAAACCAGCGATCATCCTTGAGAACACAGTTTTTTTCTCAAAGATTTCTGGGCTCAGAGCTCACGCTAAGCAATGCCTGTTGCGTGAGCACTGAGCCCTATCGTTTGTGAAATAACAGGTCAACGGCGGAGTTCGAGGGCGAAAGTTTCACGTGAGGCGGTGTCTGGCACCGCCCGTCCCGCCGTTTGACGACACCTGACCTCCAGCACGGCGGCTACCACGGGCCGCAGGGCATGGCTGTCAGGGGCAGTTGGAAATGAAAAGATCTCCAGAGATCGCCGAAGATCTCTCTAGCCTTTAGAACCAAATATGCACAGTATCGTTTCTCGAATCAGACGCAACACGCAACTTCGTTAATAACCATTTGCTAGTCGAACTACGTCATCTATTGCCAAGCAACACAATCAAAACATTTGTCTCAGAAAGCTGCAGCATCTGCCGGTCTTCACAGATAACGTGACAGCTCAATAGCTTGTGACATTTGACCAGTTGTATTGCGCCAAACACTTACCGTGTCGGAGATTTCGATGAATGCTTGTATGGGATTGCGTTATGCCGTGCATGCAGTTGTGCAATTTTTTGAAAGATCGGAAAGACGGTCAAGGAGTTATGGCCTCAGGCAATGTGAAATGTCATGAAATGATTGTCCTTGGATTCCTGTAGCTCATCAAGGGTCGACCCGAATGGTACAAGACTTGATATTCGCCGAATTCGTAATGGTCCTCCGCATTTCGTAGCCATTTCGATGTTTTTGTGCACCTGGATTCTAAAATCGTAACCGGCGACACAGAATCCTGTGAGCTGCTGTGTCCTTTTAGACAGTCATAGCGGAAATGAAGAAAGATAAGTTGTCTTTTGGGAGCATAAATGAAAAGGTGGTTTTTCTTCTAATCTTTCGGATGTTCGTGACATGTTTGCACGCTGAGGCGAGGGAAATAGTTCAGTTGAACACCCCATTTAAAACAAAATGTCATGAGCAATTCTTCTCTTGGAATTTTTTTCAGGTCTTCAAATATTCAACTGTATTCTGTTTCGGGAATGCTGGTTATGAAAAGTGGCTAACGACTTAAGGCCTAGTGCCGTGGGCTGATTTTCCTGCGGTCACAGCTGCTTTTGCTGTAGGTGAATTTGGACTGGTAGTGGGCATGTATGCGCCTGAAGATGATTGATGAAGATGGCTGTAGCATGCGCGTTATGTTTCGATTTCCGTACCGCTCATTTCGATGGCAAACATGCGTGATCGTATATCATCAACACTAGAGCGGCTATTTTTGTGACGTCTATGTAAAGGTGTAAGGACTGCCCTGATGAGGGCTGGGCGAAGTATTTTCAAAGGCGTGTTATCACCCACATTTACCAAAAGTGATTTTTTTCTGAATAATCTGTGACATCATCAAAACATGATGTCACGGTTTACAAACAACAAACACAATATCGTCTAGCTCCATATTACAGAGGACAAAACAAATCGTTGTTCACTTGTAGAACTTGTCCGAATGAAAGAGGAAGGCGTGCAATCTCCAGGCCAACCCATCGTCATATTTGTTTCTGTTAAAAATGTTGCATGTTTGATGAAGACTAGTGGTCGAAACGTAGTATTTGATTTGACGTGCATATTTCCGTTTCTTTGCACAACTTCAGGGAGAACGCGGTCAACTTTTCATTCACAAATTAATTGCAGCAGGCTGCCCGCAACATCGCTGAAACAAGCAATCAAACACTTTTGCCTCTTCAGATACGGCGGTATCGTCGGATATAAAATGATAATTACAAGTCTAGCTCCACCAAAATGTGTAACAATCATACATACTGCGGCGTCCAAGTGGCGGTTACACATGCCAGCTAACCTAGCATCAGGTGAAGATCTACCTCTCCGGCGACTTTTTGAGGGACGTCGCGGGAGTGGAACGCAGGGGGTAGCAGAAAGTCTAACCGGCCGCCCGCCACTCCGTGGCGACCGACCAACTGTGCGCGGACGCGGGACGCGTGTCAGAGCTATCTCGGGGACAGGACACGTGCCAGCGAGAACAGTAGTGCAAGCGGTGTTCGCTGAGGTTTTCACAGTGATGGATCGTCACTGCGTGGAAGTGGCCTGACCTGTGTGTCGAATAATCTACAGACCTCAAAACGATTGCATCGATGAATCACGGGTGCGTGGTGCATTGAGCTACATTATCGTAAAGCGCTGTAGTGTAGTGATCTGTGATTATGTCGCATCGATGCAAGCGTTGCGTGGGCAAATTTGGTCATTCCGGACGCATCATGCGTGCCATTCGGTGTGTTTGTGGCAAAGATGATTACGATCAGTCGTAGATGAATGTGTGTACGAGTCAGTGCGGTTGGCCTCTTTATTCCTAGAGCGCTTGGTTCGAAGTTCCAGAAGGTTGGCACTTCAGTGGTTGCCAGTGTCACGAACACTTTGTGTTGGCTTTTTTTGGTGCTCTTTTAGCGCGTTTTTATAATGCGATGTATTTTGGTTTGATTCGGAAACCAAAGTTCATGCTTCGCAGTAAAAAAGAGATTGTTTGCTCCTGCCATGTAACGAACAAATTGTCACGAGTTTTCAAAATCAAAACCAACCGTGGCTATTACAAAATTCAGCGTGCCGCACTTGACTTAAGGCGATAAGGTCTTTTTCAAAATGAGCGTGCACAAAGCAGTAATTGCCCGAAGACGTTTCCAAGTTGTGTGATAACCTAAAGGCTACATATAACTTTCATTTCTTGAAGAAACGGGTCACAAAACGTTATCTTTCGTGCTTGAAGCTTAGTTGCATGGATCAGAAGACAATGCAATCTGCTTAATTTTCATAAGAGGAGGCGACACATACTCTCGCCTCTGGATAAAAGGCATTTTGGCTTTCGGAGAGTGGAAAAAGGGTACCTGGCATGTGACAAGATCGTGAGTTAAAGATTGACGTCAAAAATAATTTCGAAACAGTCCAAGGAGGCGATGGGTCGTGGCGATTCCAGCGTTGCAATTCTCCGCTTTTTGAGTACTATGCGTCTTGAGCCCCATGCCTTCCTTCCCATTGTGTGCGCCCTCCTAAAAATGTTACAGGCAGATTCTGAATGATCGTGTTCAAGTTTCAAAGGCTTGCACCGTCAATAATTGTCTGGATATGAACGTTTCTGATTATTTCCCAAACTGTGATACCACTCAGGCGTAGTAACAGGCACAAGGCGCCCGCCAAAGATAGTTTCATCGCAATTCCAATTAAAATGTTTCACGCCCCTGTCAGTTTGGCGTGGAATGGGCCGCCTGATATTTGGTGGGCCTCGTAGATCTTGTTCAAGCCTTTTAAATTATTAATGTGTATGTTTTGTGAGTGTTACGTACCCACCCACAAAACCGTATTTGCTTCCGTTCCATCTCTGTTAGTACCATTGCTCCAACTTATTTTTATATTCCGTTCAGGAGACTTGACAGATGCCAAAAACAGTAACAGCATTGGGTCAGCACAATACGAAGAGGAATGGAAGATTTATAAAGACATCCTTGTTGGTGGAAACGTCTTCAACAACTCATTCTGGTTGGACCTCCGCGGAAACCATGGTAAGGGAATGAAACTAGGTAAGGTGAAGTCACTAAATGGTACGTGAAACATAGTGCCTTGCATTTGTTAATAGGATTTCTTTTTCTGTGTCCTTGGCCCAGATAGAATAGCTTCAAACCCATAGTATTGTAGCATGGCCGTTGAAGATGTTTTTTTTTTTTTGCAACATCGTGTATGAACACACCGCCAGTATTTCAAGGCGAGTGTTGCAGTCCTGCTAGGGGACGTCAACTTACCACTCCTAGTCAGCAATGGCCATCATCCACCCATGAGTGGGCGTCAAAATCGTACAGGAACCAACGGCTTGCGAAGCCCTGTATATCAGCAGCTACCGTTCGCCCTGCTTACGATGCGTCTCGACCGTGCCGCAGACCTGTTTGTCGTGCTTACGATGCGCCTCGACCGTGCCGCAGACCTGTTCGACGTGCCGAGCGTGGACAGTCGACGCAACTGGTTCCGCGAGTACGGCGTGCAGGGCTCCGCCCACCCGCGTTCCTACCTGTATACGGCGCGCCGCGGCCGGCGCCGGTACGCGTTCGTGGCGATGGACGCCACGCTCGACCCCGGACCGCGGCGGCCCTTCAACTTCTTCGGCGTGGTGCGGCCGAGCGAGCTGGCGGCGCTGCGCGAGTACGCTCGCGTGGCGCGGCAGGCCGACCACGCCATCTGGTGAGGGCGGGGGCGGTCCGGCGGCGCCGGGTCCGTCACAGACACGCCCTGTCGCGGCGGGAGGGAGAGGGGCGACCGGTGGTTCAGGGACCAAGCCATTGAAACAGGGTATGCGCGGCATCAAACGTGACGGGGAGGGATGCGGTCGCGCTAGTCACGTCCTCTCTAGCGGTGGTACTCCGCGGCAAGTGGAGGGACGGGCGCAGTTCCCGGCTTCTGTGCGCTGCTCTTCGCTGGCCCCACCGCCGTTTAGTAAGCGTGACGAGCAGCGGCACTGGCCGCAACCCAGTCACCTTTTTGTACATAACCGAGGGAACTCTACTGGGCGTGACGTCCCGTGGACGGTACTCGTTCATGCCATGCGCGACATTTTGCCTTTCAAAAGACTTTCGGACACACACTGCATGATACTGACTGTTCACTTGTTCAGTGTGACTGCGTGAAATGGCCACAGCAGTCGAAGCATCTTGAAAATATGAATTAGCATCATGCGGTTGCGCAGTCCTAAACCCTTCCCGTAACCACGTTGCCCGTGAACTAAAACTATACGTGTTAAAGTGCATACTTTGTAGGCGATCACGAAAATCTTCTGACGAATGCCTGGAACTAGTTCGGTAGGCGTGACGGCCGGTGACGCTGGTCGGGACTGATATAGAATCAATGAATAATCGGTACTTTTGATGCACTTGATACGCGTTTTGATACATAATCGCATATGACCTCGTAGTGACGTCCATGCACACATGACATGGAAATGCAGTTTCGCTACCCAAAATATTCTCTAGGGAAATCGTTTTGGGCTGAAAAGTAAAAAGCGTGTTAAGACTGTAAGCAGAGCGACTCCACGCCGAAAGTGGCAGGTGCAGAGCCGTATGTACGCTGAATTCCGGCCAATCAGTATGAACATTTGTTCCGCTGCGTTGAGAAGTTTGGAAAAGCGCGTTGTCGAAAAATGGTATTACCACATGCGATTTGCTGTTTGCAAAACGAGTTCAGTCACGAAGTATCTAGTAAAGGTTTTGGCTGCAGGTGGATACAAGGCAGATGGGAACCGCTGAGGACATAGGTTGTGATGGCGACGACCAATGATTCCGACAGAGAAATTCCATGCAATGATATTTTTTAAATTGTCTTTCGAGGGTAAATCCGAGAAAATCAGCGCAGGACGCAGAAAACAAAATTGGTCACGCCTTATCAGGACAACGTTAACCGCCAAATTTTACCTGAACACGGATGGCTGATGCAGACGCTGGCCATGGGATGCTGCAGGGATGTCTTATTAACGTGATTCCAGCGCTTGTTATTATCCCAAAAACACGTGCACACTTCGTCGCAGCACATCTGGTGTGCGTCAGCGTGTGCGGCCGTTGGCGGCGGCCGACGCCGGTGCTGACTCCGACGCCTGCGCGGCCGACAGGTTCGGCCACTACCCGACCTCGGTGCTGGTGCCCTCGGCGGAGGTGCGTCAGCTGATGACGGGCGCTCTGGCCTACCTCTGTGGGCACCTGCACACGATGGCCGGCCTGGTGCCGCATATGTACACCCGGCAGCGCGTCGGCACGCTGGAGCTCGAGCTCGGCGACTGGAAGGATAACAGGAGGTGGGCGACGGCGTCACCGCCCGAGCGCACAGCCGGCGGGTACCGGGTGGCTGTCACCGTGTCGTGGACTTTGCTGCCCGTTCATCGTGCTACCGATTCAAGAGTGATAGAATCACAGACTTATATTGGTTCCCCGCACGCACTTGCGTTCGGGTTAGATGGGGGCCCGCTCTGCCAGCTCACCGAGCGCTGTGCTGGATTGTTCGCCCCAGCCGGCCCGCATGTGGGGCGTGACGTCTCTGGCCGTGGCAGCGGGTCGGAGCGGGAGCGCGCCGAACTTGCCGGTATGTGGGGCGTGACGTCTCTGGTCGTGGCAGTGGGCCGGAGCGGGAGCGTGCCGAGTCGTCTGACGCCCGCCGCCTTGGCCGCAGGTACCGCCTGCTGGCCATAGACCGCGGCCTGCTGTCGTTCACGGACGTGGACAGCGGTGACCAGTGGCCGCTCGTGCTGGTGACCAGTCCCAAGCGCGCCCAGCTGACCATGGCCCGCAACGAGCCGCTCTGGACGATGCGCGAGTCTCCGCACATTCGGTGGGTGGGCGGCGGACGGCGAGACCCGCACCGCGGAGCCAGAGATCACCGGCTCTCCTACCAGGCGGCATGGCCGGGAACGCCTTTTTGTGACGTACATTAGTTTGAGGTTCATTTTCAATTGCTCGAATGTACATGTGTGGTTGCCGAACGGACAGCACAAGGAGACAGTCTTCGCGCTCGGCATGTCTATTGCGGGTGAGCGGAGGCCGTTTATCAGCTGGTTGCAGACCAGCTAAGTTTTTATGCCGCTATGAGCGTGAAATGACAGCAAAGCATGTTCAGAAATGTGCTGTAAGCTGTAGACTGAGGTCTGCGCTGGCTGTGTTTCAACTAGGATGTTGTAGCCAGGCACTGAGTGACACGTTGCGCCGATGCTGCAGTGTGCTGGCCTTCTCCGTACACGCGGTGTCGTCGGTGCGTGTTCAGCCAAGTGACGGGGACGCCTGGGTGCCGTGCACAAGGGCCAAAGGTCCTCTGTTTACCTGTGACTGGCAGCCGGCGAAGTACGCTCACGGCCTGCACACAATGCAGGTGAGCACTCACAGGCACCCGATGTTTCCGACCGCAGGCTGCATCGCAGGCGCGGCATAACGATAGAGTTTCACTCGCCCTGGTCGCGTGACGAGCCCTTGAGCTGCCGACCTGCGCGGATGCACGTGGCCTCATGCTCCCACACGTGGCTGGTGGCCAGTAACAGGCTCACAGTCCCCAGCGCGCTGCGGAGATACTGCGGCCATGTGGCGTGCTGGGCCAGAGGTACTGCGGCCATGTGGCGTGCTGGGCCAGAGATACTGCGGCCATGTGGCGTGCTGGGCCAGAGATACTGCGGTCATGTGGCGTGCTGGACCAGGGATAATGTGGCCATGTGGCGTGCTGGGCCAGAGATACTGCGGCCATGTGGCGTGCTGGGCCAGAGATACTGCGGCCATGTGGCGTGCTGGGCCAGAGATACTGCGGCCATGGGGCGTGCTGGGCCAGGGATAATGTGGCCATGTGGCGTGCTGGGCCAGAGATACTGCGGCCATGTGGCGTGCTGGGGCAGAGAAATGCATGCGCTCTGGTGGCTGATGTGACGGCTTGTTGAGCCTTGCCCGGTGTCGCCGTCGGCGTCCGGCTCCGTCTGGAGCGTCAGACGGCCCGCAGGATGTCCGGCCTCTGCAGCCCGTCTGTGGACTGTCCGGCCGTGTACAGGCCGCTGCGTGGGTCGTCTGATGGCTGCCCTGGTCGGCGGGTGTCGGTCGTCTGATGGCTGCCCTGGTCGGCAGGTATCGGTCGTCTGATGGCTGCCCTGGTCGGCGGGTGTCGGTCGTCTGATGGCTGCCCTGGTTTGCAGGTGCTGGTGGAGGACTCTGGCGGGCTCAGTCGCCGGATTTCCCACACGTTCTCACTGGACGGCAGCGAGGTCAAGTTCCCTTTGGTGGCCCGGCTGATTCTGATGCTAGACGGCTCGGCGACGGTGAGCTCGTCTCAAACACCGGCGGCTCCACGCCGGTGAACAGCGCCCAGCTTACGTGCGGGTTAACAGCGCTTCGTGTAGTGGTGACGACAGCCAGCGTGTGCGTGATGATCCCTGGGTCTTGATAACAGTTGGCAGGGGTCATGAAGCCTGACAATACCGGTGCTAGTTATAATGAGCACCATCATGCGTTTGAAGTCGAATTGAACTATGCCGCACTGCAATGTGCTGATTGGCGCCGCCGGCAGAGTCAGCTGCTGTTCGCGGCGGCGCTGCTGGTATGCGCGCTGCCGCCAGGTGCGCTCCGTCTGCTGCACGCGCAGGTGACAGGTGAGCGCCCAACAGGCGGCGGTGCATCCTCCGCCGGTGCGGCACCATGTCCGCTCAGAAAACTCCCTTTCCGCCAGATGGGGCATGCCCAGGTCCCAAAGTATATAGTGTGTCTGTAAATGTGCGCATGCGAACATGCAAGTTTCTACTGCGACGTTACACGACCGCGAATTGTTTTTAGACGAGGCTAAAGGCGGTGCTGTGCGGGGCGGACTTTAGGCAAAATTATGCAAATGACCTCAAACAAAACGAGCTGTTAAATCAGTGCGCTCAAAAATGGTTGATACTTTTGTGTTGGAATAAGGGCACGTTGCTGGTCGACTCCTGCTATGTTGCCGGAGGGAAGACTGCTCGGCGCTGTCGGCTGGCTCCGTTGCCGGAAGTTAGACTCCCGTTGGCTGCTGTCTGACCCAGCGTGTCGGCCGCCGGCGCGGTGTGCTGTCACCATCGGTGCCAAGGATGAAGCCTTTGACGGCGCGGGCCTTGCGTGCCACTGCGGCTGTGGCCGTCCGCAGACTGTGCGCCGTGCCATGTTGCTGTACGCACTTCTGCACTGCGTGTGACACGCTGTTTTCGACACCAGCGGGTACGCCCGTCATGGACTCGCGGCTCTTCCGTACATTAGTTGTATAAAGGTCACGTATATATATATATATATATATATATATATATATATATATATATATATATATATATATATATATATATATATATATATATATATATGTATGTATACATTTCTAGCCTCTATTATGCACCCAGCCAGCCTTCATGGTGTTTACCTCGTGAAAGGGGTTCCCTCTCATAAGGCATAGGCTCCCCGGTTGCGTGGTGAGGACACCTGCCAAATTATGGCGTGGTCTTCGCCCATACCGTGCGTTAGTGGTCGCCTGCGGTGATGTCGGCCAAGGCGCAGGGGCCGGGGAATGCCCGCCCTTCTGTCGGGACGTCTGCTCTCAGCGTCCCCACAATTGAATGTGTTGAAAGGGACGTAGGCCCTGTGTGTGGCTTCACACACATGGCTCCTTTTGAGGTTGCGCGAGCTAGACAGGCAACCATATTTACTCCGAAGCTCAGTTGGCAGTGCAAATACAGAGTATAAATAGCAACGTGCGTACACCCAAACCCGTCCGAGCTGGATTGCCGTGTGCATTAGCTGTGCGTCATATTCAGAGGAAGCTGTCTTCAGTTGGGGTTGCGCAGTCCCCGGTGTGACCGTCTTGACGCTATCCGCGCCCGGGGCGGGCCCGCCGTCTGACGCGCGCGGCCTCGTTCCGCTGCAGCCGGGCGCCGCCAGCTGCCGCGGCTGGGCTGGCGGCCGCTGCGCCGCTGGCTCCGGCGGCTCACTCTGTTCGCCAGCGTGGACCGTCTCTACTGGCCGCACGTGGGCATGCTGCTCTACCTGCCCGTCGGTGAGCCTGCCGGGCTGCGGCGCGCTCCGAACTCCGACAGAGGCGCGGCCGCGTCTGCTGCCGAGGGCGAGGAGTAGAGAGCACCGGTTCTACACTGTGGACCGCGCCCATCTGGCGGGGCCAGCCATCGCGTGCAGTGGTGGGGGCGGAGAGACTTCGGGAGCTGGCTGATGTCTAGCTGGATGCCAGGCCGTCTGTGTGCTTTTCCAGCCGTCTGTCTGTATATTGCGGCACGCGGTGCTCCCTGGCGTAGCGTCTCCTCGCATTGTTTTAAACAGACGCAGTATTTCAGTACTAAACACGGAGACAGCGTTGCCTGGCGCCCGCGCCAGCCCAGTGAGCCCCGCGTGTCCGTAACTGGCGGTGCCGGCCGCCGCGGCGCCGGCGAGTGACGGCCGGTGTAGCGCCACACCGCCCGCCAGGTCCGTGGCTGGCCGACGAGCCTGGCGTGTCCGTAACTGGCGGTGCCGGCCGCCGCGCCGCCACACCGCCCGCCAGGTCCATGGCTGGCCGGCGAGCCTGGCGTGTCCGTAACTGGCGGTGCCGGCCGCCGCGCCGTCGGCGAGTGACGGCCGATGTACCGCCACACCGCTCGCCAGGTCCGTGGCTGGCCGGCGAGCTCATCACCGGCCAGATGGGCGTAGTGTTCGCTTGGGGCTCGCTGGTGGGCGGCGCCTTCCTGCCTGGCCTGCTGCAGTACGTGTACGGCATGGTGCAGCTGCTGCTGTTCCACCTGCCGCTGATGCTGGCTACCGGCTGCCTGCTGGACTGCAGGTGGGTACGCTGCTGTCCGCCGTGTCGTCGGTCTGGGCCAGCAGCCATTGCTCTTTTCCATGCAGCATGTGCGGGGTATTGTGGACCGGCTTTCATAACGTTATGGTCTACGGGGTATCGACCATAAATGGACTTTTTTTTACTTGACTGATGTGAAAGCCAATTGTGTGGGGCGCAGCTGGCCGAGTTCTGAAACCAAAGAGCGACCGTGTGTCCTGTGCAACCTGGCTGAAAGGTGTGCCGTTGCGATCTGTAGCGCCCCCTCGCGCCTGTTGTGGGTTTGGTGAAGGCCGATGCGCTCTGCTGGTGGTGGTGGGGGTTGTGGTGCGTGGCAGAGTGTGGAGCCTCTGCTGTCGGCAGGCTGGACAGCTTCTGGCGGCCGGAGCGGCTCTCGCGGCGGCGTCTGTGGACCGCGCACGCCGCTCTCCTTATCATCTGCCTCATTCAGCTGGCAAACGTAAGGACGGGCTCCGCTCTGTCACCGCCGCGGCGACCCCAGGGGTGGAACGGCAGGGGCCGCTGGTCAGCGCTACCGCTGCTCCATCACCGCCGCGGTGGTCCCCAGGGGTGGAGCGGCAGGGGCCGCTGGTCAGCGCCACCGCTGCTCCATCACCGCCGCGGTGGTCTCCAGGGGTGGAGCGGCAGGGGCCGCTGGTCAGCGCCACCGCTGCTCCATCACCGCCGCGGTGGTCTCCAGGGGTGGAGCGGCAGGGGCCGCTGGTCAGCGCTGCTCCATCACCGCCGCGGCGGTCCCCAGGGATGGAGCGGTGGGGACCACTGGTCAGCGCTGTTCCATCACCGCCGCGGCGGTCCCCAGGGATGGAGCGGTGGGGACCACTGGTCAGCGCTGCTCCATCACCGCCGCGGCGGTCCCCAGGGATGGAGCGGTGGGGACCACTGGTCAGCGCTGCTCCATCACCGCCGCGGCGGTCCCCAGGGATGGAGCGGTGGGGACCACTGGTCAGCGCTGCTCCATCACCGCCGCGGCGGTCCCCAGGGATGGAGCGGTGGGGGCCACTGGTCAGCGCTGCTCCATCACCGCCGCGGCGGTCCCCAGGGATGGAGCGGTGGGGGCCACTGGTCAGCGCTGCTCCATCACCGCCGCGGCGGCCCCCAGGGATGGAGCGGTGGGGGCCACTGGTCAGCGCTGCTCCATCACCGCCGCGGCGGTCCCCAGGGATGGAGCGGTGGGGGTCGCTGGTCAGCGCTGCTCCATCACCGCCGCGGCGGCCCCCAGGGATGGAGCGGTGGGGGCCACTGGTCAGCGCCGCCGCCCGCACGTCACAAGGCCCCTGAAGGGTGCGGTTACCCTGTTCCGTTGCGTCCAGGTTCTGGTGTGTGGTTTGGTTCCGTCTGGTCATAGTTCACTCGCTTCGCATTCAAGCATGGGTGAGCTAAACATCAGCAAACCTGAATGTAATACTTCTATGAACACCTGTTGGATCTTGCGTTGATGACAACATACGAAGCGTGGATAGAAGATGGTCACCCTACCCTGCACTAGGCCTGGGGAACTATGCAGGGTAATGAACATGGGAAGCCTTCGTATTCCCGCAGCCAACGTTTTGATATCATAAATCACATGGGGGCTCCATATCAATAATTTTTGCCGCGCATTAGGGTTCAGTTACCATCGCCACCGGTCATAAACGATATTATGCTCTAGTGAGTGAAGCTACCAGCCGAGCGAACCTGAGCTGATCCATCTATGATCAAACAGTTTCAGCTGGAGCGGTCCGGTTTTCACGTCTTCCGAAGGTCGCAGATTCGTTACCACTGCTCGCAGCCTAGCGCAGTTTGCAAACGCAATACTGAAAGTGTTGTGTTCAAGTGCTAGACGTTTGCATGCAAGCTGTTTGATTAAGCGGAATCTGCCGGCAACATTGCCGGGCCACAATTTTATCCCCTGCGTTCGGGCGACATGAATTCCGTTAAATTTTCCGGTTGCAAGAAGAAACGGGTCGAAAATAGCTTGAGGTCTTGATGATCCGGTGTTGCAGCGACACGGCGCTCTAAGATCCGAACGGCGGGGAGAGCGGACAGTCACAGCGGTGAAGTGCGGGCGTTGTTCGCTGATGGTCACGCCCTCCCATGTGCGCACCATGGGTCCGCTCCTTTGGGACGTGTTTGGGGCGTAGATGAAGTGGTCAGATCTCGACAATGGGTGCAGATGAAGACGTGAAGTCAGCAGCACGGCGGAAGCGAGCGTGTCGGATGTCCCGCGCACTGACGGGGCCCGCATCAGCTGACTGACCGCAACTGGTGGCGGGTTCCCCCCCCCCCCCTCCCTGGCTAATTCGGAGCAGAAAAAAGACAGAGGCAAATCAAACGTCGTTAGGTAGGTTGAAAATTCTGACGATTTTTTGCACTGTCATTAATTTTATGTTTAGATGATGGTCACGTGAGGTTGTCTTTCATTTCTTGTAAGCTTCATGCAAGGTCATATGAGGTCTCTCATTTCTTGTAAGCTTTATATAGCTAGCACGCCAGCCGTCTTCGCTATTTAAATCTGTTAGCAGCTGGATGGTTTGGCAAGCCAGAGTGCTGCATTCAATGCATTTCATATGCTTATGATGGTGTTTGGCCTAGTTCATCCAGTTGTCAAGTCAGCTGCATTTCAGGCTCAACCTAGACCAGTCACCTATGATGATATTTCGCTGTGAAATATGATGCCGGGATGTGGAAGAAAAAATGTGGAATCTAAAGAAGAACGACAGAGAAACATGTTGATAAATGCCTGTTATAAAAATCTCCCGAGGGCAACTTCGATTAAGGACGTAGAACTATTGGGACTTTTCTGGGTGCATGCACGGGCAAAGGAAGGAGCGATTATATGAAGACTAAAATGGAATGAAATCGACATCTGCAGGTATGGGGCATGTCATCAAAGACTTAATGTAGCTGTCAGCTCAGGCAAGTGGTCTAGGACGACATCGGATTGCCATTTATAAATCACGTTGTGGCATCGTGATGTAGAACACTTATTTGGACGAAATTATAACCGCACTAGAAACAATAGTGAATGTCATACTCTTCCACCCATCTTGGTCCGATATTGCTTAGCTTAAGTTTACCTAGGTCATTGACCTGACCTGACGTGGAGCCTAAACTTTCTTAATACCTTTGAGCTGATTTGAGTGTACGAAAAGCAGCAGGAGGATAGAGCGAGCATGAACTTCAAGAAGTGTCAAGGATAGCGAGTCGTTCTGTAGCCATTCTCAGTATGTCGCAGAGGGCCTCCCTTGCTCGGTGCGAGGGCATAAACCCATTCAACAGATCTCAGGTCCGCCGTACTCATAGGTGGGCGGGTGACCGGCCTGCTAACGGGCGATGCTACCTAACCCATCCGACACCGAGCTGTGATGCGGTGCGCTGCGGCCTGAGGCAAGAGATTGCGGTATGAAAATTGCACAGATGTGTTCATTGCGATCATTACCGTCCAGCATATTTGGGTTTTCCGCAATATCTCGATCACCAGTTCGAGCCCGTCATTAATCATCTGCGCGGCTATATAGATATAAAATATGAATATATAGAGCTATATAAATCAAGCCTTGAATTTCTGTGGTTTACCAAGTCGCCCGGACTGGTCGGACCCATGGCCAGACAGTCCTCAAACATCGCTTGTGGGCTAGTAGGCGAATGATACACCAATGGACGTCTGCGCTTAAAATTCCCACTTACCCCAAACTTCTTAATGCATGCATCAAAACTCCTTGTGTCGGTGAGTATTTCCAGAGGAGCATGCCTTCATTAGCTTAATTATTTTTGCAACATCTTCACCACACCTGATAACTCACTGTTGTTGTCATGTTATCGCCCGGCTCATCCCACGCCGCGTGAGGCTCGGCACTGGTTTCAGCCAGGTCACGTGGGAAGCCCAGTGCGGCTTTGCACCGATCTGCGCTGATCCCTCTGTCGTGATGTAATCGGAAGGGCTGGTCAGACTCTTGATGGTGGTAGCTGGTAATCACTACTTGTTGCTGATTATGCTGCAAGACGAGATCTAAGTGGCAGGCTAAGAACTGCCCTGGTCACTGTGAATAAGTGAAGTGTGTACGCTGCCGGCTCCATCAGCCGCAGGTGCCGGGCGTCGGTGTGGCTGGACGGATGGTCCGGTCCGGTCAGCCAGGCGCCGTACCAGAGGACGGCCACGATCTGTCGGTAGCCTGATGCTCCGTCCCCCTCGCAGGTGTACCTCTTTTATCTGTCCTACGACCTGATGGCCACGCTGCTTGGCCCGTTCCGCACGTGGGCTCTGCTGGTCGGCCTGCAGATGTGGTATAGCGCCGCCACCCTGCCCAAGGCATCTCTCAGGTAAGACCGCGCCCTGCCAAGATGCCCAAGGCATCTTTCAGGTAAGACTACGCCCTGCCACCCTGCCTGAAGTGTCTTTCAGGCAAGGCTGCTCCCCACCACCCTGCCCAAGGTACCAAGTGAGGCTGCGCCCCACCACCCCGCTCAAGGCGTCTCTCAGGCGAGGCTGCGCCCCACCACCCTGCCCGAGGCGTCTCTCAAGTGAGACCGCGCCTCTTGAACGGCGCGGCATGCCGCTCCAAACTTAGTACGGCTGTTTGGTTAAATAACCGATCTTTCGTTTGGAAAATTGGACGGGCCGTGTAAGGTTGCTTACCTATGGCAGCTCAAAGCTGTTACCGATGTCATTTACTTGGGAATCATTAAATGTGATATGGCAACGGAGCGTCAGACGAGATTATGCAGCTTTGTGGTGTTTTTTTTTTTTAGGCAATTAGACAGTTGAGATTAGAAATGAGGCTAATTACATTAACATTGGGTCAGGTATGAAGGTCAGATTAAGGTCAAAACCAAACTGCTTTGTTACTGCAAATCATGTTTCGTGAGGTATTTTTAAGGAGCATTTCGAATTTATGGATCAGAATGATGTCACAATATTATTTGTGTTGAGTTCATGAAGGTCAGGAAAGTCCCTGACCGAAAATGAGTTTATCAGATATTTTCTTTTAGGAGTGTGCCGTCTAGGGTGGTACTTATCGCCTGTTTTAAATCGAACTATCCGAATTTTCCTGAAATTTGCCCTGCCATTTTACCTTCTGAAAGCCAAAAAAGATCACTGTACTGATTTGAACACCTTGGCATTTTGTTAAGATCTTTCTCCGTTAAAGCTGGTTGCGTGAAGAGATCTGATTGCGTTTCGGACACCGATCTGCAGTTGATATAGTTTGACCTTATTTGACCGGAAAGTCTTGATCTCGCGACATCCAAATTTGGCCCGCAATTTCACATAGAAGCATGTAACCCTGGAATTTTGGTGATCTTTGTCTTGTAGTTTTCAGATAGGGGGTAAAATTGAAACCCCTAACCCAGCCCCAGTGAACGCGTCACATTCAGCCCGCCATCCTGCCGTATGTTAAGTGGGACTGATGCAGCTGTACATAGGTGTATGATAGGCGGTACGTGCCGTGGACTTCGGTTTAGGAATGTACTGTGCTATGTATGTGCTGCAAATGTTGGAGTGAGGATTGGTGCCCCATTGAATTGAGATGGCCTGACAGTAGTGTAGGCTGGTTTCGGTTCTTTTGATTATCAGAGTTTGCCCTCAATGCAGCATATAGTTTTACAGTTGAAGCCTTGCTGTCGTTATGTGCTGCTTGTTTGTAAACGTGAACGTAAATTTCTTATTTTTTTCCATATGTGTTCTCAAGTTTTGTCTTGTGTTTTACTAACGTCGGATCCGAACCTGAGATCAGCTCCCTGCTCCGACCCATAATGCTACAGGTACTACAGGTACAAGCGACTTCCGTGCGCCCTCGGCATTGCCTGCTCCTAGCTTACAGCCATGCGTCTGCTCTATTTTGCAGGCGTGCCGCTGCCATCTGGCTCACGGAGCCTGTGGAGCGAACAGCTACTGACTGATGGATGGCACTGAAAGCATATCAACTCCAAGCCGTGTCTGCGTGACGCACACATCGTACTATTATTATCCTGTGATTTGTGGCCAGACGGCTGAGGAGAACTTACCGGCAGATGAGTAATCACCGCCGATTGTGGACCGATGACGGATAGTGTCGCACGCCGCAGGGTCTGACAGCTGTCAGCTGCCGGTTGTGGGTAGAAATGTTTTGGGCGGTTGGACACCATTTCTTCGGTGGACTCATTGTGCTGTGTGGCTTAGGTCCATTTCATTGCGGTGACCACGGGTCTGAGGATAAAATCGTATGACATAATTTATTGGTTATGTATTTAGAGCACTTGTATGCGTGCTGCAAAGTTCTCGTAGCTCGTGAACAGTTTGTTGGATTCTCAAGACGCTTGTAGAGTTGTGTTGGACATATTCCATCTCAGACGTACCGCAGAAGGCAGGTGTTGATCCACATGGTGCGAGATGAATATCACTGAAATATGTTGCCTAGGAATGTTTGGGTGAATGCCAGCATAATAACGCTGTTGACTATTGTCGCCGTGGCCTATGTCCAGTAGACCGTTGATTGCTGAGGCTGCATATGGACTATCCTCGCTCGATTGCCGCACTTATCAGGTGGAATGTGTTTTGAAGCTGTGATGACCGGAGGCAGTGGGGTGTGTGCCGATGTGTTAGCGCTGTATGATATGCGTACCAGCGCACCACCAATGAGACCAGGCCTCCGGACAAAGCCTGTTTTAATTAAAACTAGAGATCTGCCGCATGCCACGGCCTGAATTTTCTCACCACAGAAATGACTATTTTAGTTGTTGGGCGTTCTTTAAGCTGAAAGCCTCCATTCGCAATTAAGAACCTTCTGCCTGTCTCGGGAAAATACAATAAAGAACATTGCACGTCTTTGTGAGCCAAATCGCTTTGGTTTCGGCGTGCGCTGTACGACCGTGAACTGGTGTACATTTCACCAGCCGTCGATGTGTCGCCATGTCGTCTGCGGTCGGAGCAGTCGTGTCGTCATTGCCTCCGACCTTTCTGGCGATCTCACCACCTCCGCAATGCCTCGGTGCCGCGCAGTTCCAGTCGGATTCACAATTCACAGTTTGTCGAATACTCCCTGTTGCGACGTCAGCGAGAGCGCCAAGTATCACTGAGTAAGTCATACGCACATATAACCACCGCGATCGTTCTCATCTGCGATCTTACAATGCGTACATTGGCACTATTCCCGTGAATGGGCGGTCTCCTACAAATGAGGATCCCGAGATTCACCCTTTCCCGCGCAGCAAAGCGAATGTTTTCCGCGACATGACTACCGCTCAACTTGGTGCATCACGCACCCAATTTTCCAATCCTTTATGTCTTAAAAAAACGGACCTCGCCACCGATGTCATCGGCGCCGCTCATCAATCTCCGTACCAAGCTTCAGCACGCATGCGCACTCCTTAAGGTCGTGCATACATGCCGTGAAAATTTCAGGCTCTTACTGCCCTGTTTATCCTGCACAGGGGTCGGCAAGCAAAAGAAGGCAGGCAGACATACTAACGGAGACGCACATTTGTGTGTTAAGTATGCGACATGGCTGCCTCGTTTGAACACGCAACCAGTACAGGAATGCTGTGCGCTGCCATAGCCTAGCCAATCATAGCCGACTTCGATCTGCAGTCAGAGTTCAGTGGTTCTGACGAAGGCCCCTATGTCTGAAGTTATTAAAAAAAAGCTGGGAGGTGAATGTTGTTTGCAACTGCCAGCATGACAGCAAGGTCGGCGAAATACGGATAGTTTGTTTTGATGTCCGGCATCCGACTGTCCCCAAATCACCTCCCATCCCCAGCGACTTGCTCTTAAAAAGGCTTTTCTAGAGACACACCCCGTGGTCTGCAGATGCTTATGTGGAATTTGTTGATAGCAGGGACGGCGACAGGCATGTTCCTTGGGCTTCTTGAAGGGGGCGTAAAATGGCCATTGTGGTCAACGCGCTTTGAAACACCATTGAACAACAAAAATAACGGCTTCGTGAAGGTCAAAGGACGTCACTGAACTAGATAGCCCAAACATCAAAGGTCTTGTAGGCTTTTGCTCACCATGACATTCTTGAGGTCAACCAAGGTCACTGGCCTGAAATGGCGAGCAGTGGCCCTTTTCCTCGGAACAGGTCTGTAGGTTCAAGACGGTTGCAAGAGAAGGTCTAGGACTGAACACTATGCGGAGTTTGACGTTGTTTGACCAAATTCAAACCGAAGGTTATAAAGCTAGGAAACCCAATTTTGACACTAGTGTGTCCACATACAGGCCTACTTACCCCATGAATTCGGTGTCGAGCTCTCTTAGTTTTTGAGATATCAAGGATTCCCAGCCCCCCCCCCCCCCCCCCCGACCACTACGCACTACGACTTCTACTGTTATATATACCACTATATACTACTGTTTACTATACACTACATACTACTATATACTACGACTACGCACTATTCAATCGGCCACCCGGGTCCGTGTTTAAGGCTTGAAGACATAAAAGTTTCGGCTTTACAAGCATGCCATCAAGGCAAGCCTTGGAGTCATCCAAACTTTTGCTAGACATTTTTTGCAATTTTTCAACACCCTTCCCACACCAGTGCAGTCACGCGCAGGTTGGTATGGAAGCGCCCCTCCCCCTTCCCCCATCGCTACGGGGCTGCGCTGTGTCAGCGCAATGTCCCAAAAAGATAACGTCCGTTTGGTACCTAATGGAGCTGGAGGTGCGGGAAATAAAGCTGGGCGTATTGCTTGTGAGGAGAGGAAAGAGATGGTTTCCAGCCTTTAAGATTTCAAGCCATCTTTTTTAAGGCGCAAACTCGACTTCAAACCACATCCGTGTGTAATGGCGTTGTCTTCATATCTCTTCCCTTGTTACGTTTCGGTTACACCCATAGGCGGATCCTGGGGGGGGGAGGGGGGGGGCACAGGGCCATGACCCTCCAAAACCTCTGTGAGTATGTTTTGCCCCCCCCCCAAAAAAAAACATTCCCAGAGCTTCATAACGGTTTCGTCTATTTACCGTCTGTTTTAACTTTAACTGTTCTAACTGTTTTGTTTTAACTTCTGTTTAAGATTCAAAAGCACTTCGGTGCTTTTTTCGGTTTTGAGTGGTGTCCGTACCAGGTACTCGCGAAATGCACCATGCACTGGACCTCGGATCACGCACCAGCCAGCTGGTGACGAACGGTTGCCCCCCCCCCCCCCCCCAAAAAGCAACTCCAGGCTAGATCCGTTCCTGGTTACACTCCATCAACCCTCTCTCCAGCCTTAATAATTGGACGGTTGCTTACACGGGCGTAGTTTCGCAAAATAAGTTGCGGGGGGGGGGGGAGGGACGAGCAGTGGGGAAATGTTGCAGCCTGCCCACACAATATAACACTTTTTGGGGTTCTCCTCGGATTTGGCCCTTTTTTCTCAAAGTTGGGGAGGCCAGATTGCTATGGCTGGAGCCCACCCAGCGGAATAGGAAACTTTACCCTGCCAAGATATGAAGGCATTAACTGCTTTATTCCAAACAACCCACCAGTTAGTTTGCACATTTAAAAGAAGCCTGGCCCACTTTACCGATATTAACGCGAAAATACTCTGGAAAACCTTCCACTTGTCGTGCCGTCAAAACAGGGCCAGCTGATTGTGATAGTTGATCAGTGACTCAGTAAACACACTTGCTGATTTGTGCAGACCTTGCGCTGTGCGCAATGTGGCGTGCGTGCGTGTGTTCATCGGGCGTCTGTTTCGCTGTGAGTTGTGTGGGAGGGCCTCACGCTGGTGTAAGCAGTTCGAACTAATTAGCGCTACGCTTTTTGTTACTAGCATGTATAAACTAACTTCGTCTCTATTGTTCCACGCGTGGAACCTCTTTTCATCTGAATGGATGGTGTGTGCATACGCTAAGTTTGATCTGAAACTGGAAGCGTTCTGCTCTCTGATGGAGTGAATGTTTACCATGTAAACAACCTGTGAGATATACCATGTGTTCCAGTTTTTGATGTTTTTTCAGTTCAGATTACACTGAAGTGGAATATTTATTGATATCCTTAGCCTAGTGTGGTAAAGGTATTGTACAACAAATTTCATGTCTTCTGTGAGGAAGTGGTAGTATTACAGGCTAGGCAACAAAAGACGCATACTATACTGATGTTGTCTGGTGTGGCAGTGACATCACAGCAACGGTGTTGGTGCATGTGTGCTGTAAGGCTGAACTTGAGTGTTCAGGGCACCAGGTTTCCCTATGGTGGCCCTGGGTTAAAATCTTGGTTGCTCCAGGGCCCCTGGGTGCTAATGTGGCTGATGCTCTGGCTGGCACTCCATGTAAGGGGTATAGAAATTGCCATGTTGTTTGTTGTAAAAACAACCTAGTTTGAAGCATGCCTAGCACTATGTTGTAAAAACAACTCAGTTTGAGGAATGCTTAGCACTAGTTTCATTGCATAGCCAATGTTATGAGAAATTGTGATGTCACAAAGGTAATTTAATGCTGAAATATTCTGTAAATGTTTTTACTGCAAAATGCTATAAGAATTCAGCACAATTTGGCCCAAAGTGAGTTGGGTGCATATAAGTGCAACATTGAGTACATTGCTGCTGTGAAGCCCTTAGGTATATGGTGCAGTGATAGTTTTTTTGCCTTTGCAGACTGGATTCTACCTTTCATGTTGTAGTAATCACATTTTTAAGGACCACCATGGCCATCTGATTTCATCAAGCTCAACTCATTTTTGGGTATCATATGCTGACTGATGTCCCAATAATGATGTTGACCTGGATGGGAGCAGGGGTGGTAAGGTTTCCAGCAATATTTTCTGACAAATAATTTTTACTTGTGCTATTCTATTGATTACACCTAGTACAGCAGATTGGAAAAGTTGCAAGTACATTGCATTGACAACAAAGTGTTTCATGACATGTTTTTTGTGATGCAGACTCAGTATTTAACATTGCAACATATGTTTCATAAATACATGCTAACAATTTATAACTAAAGCTGCCATCATGCATGGCAGATCTGGCTTGCTGTTATTTGTTGCTGGCTTATCTGGTTTAGCACAGGCAGCCACAAGCTAAAGATGTTAGCTTTCACATCATTTCCCAGCCAAGCACTGTACTTTTAATTGGTAGACATCTTGCTTACGGGTTTTTCAAGAGGCTTCTTGGAGGACTCTGGATGGGGATGAAGCTAGCAGTTAGGAGTTTAGGCCAGTGTAGTGTATTTGGTTGTCAGAAGGCCTTTGCTCCTGTGCAGAGCTACTTGCATGCTTTTTTGCAGCCTTTTAGGTGGTTTCACCTCATATTGGCACTTGCTCAAGGGTAATGCGGGCTGCTCCACTTCA